TCAGACATGGAGAGCAGCACCTGCGAGGACTTCAGCCCAGGTGGCCCCAGAAGCACAGAGCTCCGGGACTCGCTCAGTGAAGGGCTGGGTCAGGGTACAGACTCCTCCGCATTGAGCCCAAACTGTGACAGTGCCACAGAGGGACCTGACCCGTTTGAGAGCTCCTCAGATGAGGTGGAGCTCACCTCTTCTCCATCACATTCAGCTGACAACTCTGCTGCAGACAAGCAACCAGACCTGTCCTCCACAGACCCCAGCAGTGCTTCCAGTCAAGTCCCAACTACACTGGATGACACCGAAGCTGCAGGAGCTGGTGATTGCAACGACACCCCTAAATTAATCAAACCTCCCTCTAAATGCGCCAGCAGCTCTCAGACTCGGCCCCTGACCAGCCAAGCATCTGTCCAGCCTGACCCGGAGATCCCTGGGGTGAGCAGAGGATGGCCCGAGCCCATCAATACCAGTCCTACCCCGGCTCTCTACGTCCAGCTGCACGGTGGAGCAGTGAGGCGGCTGGGGGATGATGAGAGGCCTCTGCAGATATTAAACGAGTACCTCACTAACCTGGGGTTTGAAGACCAATGGAGGGTGCAGGCGGAGGGGATGAATCCTGAAATCGGCTGCCTCATACGCTTCTACTTTGGTGAGTGTTTAAATTGTTAAAACGTATATTCATTAAATCATTTTTTTGCAGGTGAATGAGAATTTATTTCAGAGCCAATCTAAAATGGGAATTTTTAAAGTAGATATTGATTTCAGAGGGAAACATTCACAACTTGCTGATGAAGGGGCGGATGTATAGTACATTAAAGTTTTGAGCTGCAGTGATTAAAATTAGGACTTTTGAGTGTAGATTTCACAACACAATGACTATGGAACGCAGAGAGATGAAACAATTTGATAGGGGATCGATAGAAAAAGTGTTCGACTTTGGATATCTTTACTCCTCAGATGGATAAAACTGCTTACTCATTTGCCCACCCCAGTTGAACCTCACCTTAGCTTTCAGAGAGCCACCAGCTGCTAGTTACCTCATGCCTCTTTAGTTTTACTCACTCATTGTTCATCCATTCTCAGTGTACCGTGAGTGCTGTCATTGTGTTTGTTCAGTCGGACTGTTAAACGAGCGTGTTCAGTTGTCCTGGTGGGACAATACTCGGCCTGTAAACACACCCACACCCTCTGTGTGCAGGCCTGTAGGGAGACACATCTGGAGGTAACAGGTGTGATCTTTCGCCACACCGCTCCCACAAAACGATGGATTCTGTTTTTTCTTCCTCTGCTCTTGTTGTTGTTGTTGTTATTGATAAATATCCTGTGTGGCTGACATGCAGGGTAAGAGGGTGGATAACCAGCCATGATCTCTTATGGGATTAACACAACTGGATATTGTTATTGACCTTGTTTTTAACACCATCTTCAAAGGCGGCTGGATAAATAGTCCTGGTGTGATAACAGAGGAAATAAACAGAAAAACAGCTTTACTAAAACGTATATATATTTTTTGATTTACCTCTGGTTTAGGGTCTCTCTGTTATACGGCTGTTACTAAGTTATTTGCATTACTTATCTGAATCCTTCATGCATTTGTGTTGTTGATTATTCTGTGTATTACTTTGGTTGACAGTCTTTAAGATGTTTGGTCAATTGAATATTAGTAAATGTATAAAATGATTGATGAGCGTATCCCAAAACCTCTGATGTTTTAATGAAATGTCTTCTTTTGTCTACAACCTCAGTGACTTAACTGTACTGTCATAGAGGAGTAAAGAAACCAGAGAAAATATTCACATTAAGAAGCTAAAATCACAGAATTATGACTTCTTTTTCTTAAAAAAAGAACTTATGGATTTTCAAAAATAGTTAACAATTATTTTTATAGCTGACAACAATTCCATTTATTGTTGCAGCTCTTCTTTAGTTCCAACCAAAAATGAAGTTTAAAACATACTTTTACTCCACATTCCATTCATAGAGAGACACTTCATACGTATCCTCTACTCTGAAATGTTACACAGAGCATTCAGTAAAAATTCCCCCACTCCCAGTCCCTATCCCTTCCACTCTTGGCTCCGACAGTGACATAACAGATAAACAAAGGGTGATTTAGAGTTCGGCCGCTGAAGGCAGGGGCCCTTCCAGCTACTGCCGACAAACACACATGACCATGAAACAAGCCGCAAGAGGCTGGTGTGACAGGAGAGTGGAAGTACTGCTGGCATGACAGGGACAATTATCAAGAGGACTTGATGTGATGAAGTTATGATATGACTTTAGAAATTCATGATCAGAAGAATCCCCCCCCCCCCCCCCCCCCCGATTAGTTTTTATGATAGGGTCTGGCAGCAACATGAGATAGGTCATAGGGATACATTGAGGGCCTCACTGGCTGCAAGCTTCCCACAGCTGCAAGTGCCAAGTGTTGAACATCACTTGATGATCACTGGGTGTCAGTAACATTCTTCTCACACAGAAATTCCAGAAACTTAGACCTGGTTGGATATTTAGTCTCGGACACAGGGCTTGCCTGATGTCACCAAAAATGCAGTCATATCAGTGTCACTTACCGGAACGCATTAAGTCTTATTTTTTGAAAGATTAAAGATTGACGCTTGGACATCAGCAAATCAAGAGAAAAAGAAGCTAAACTAATATTAGTGTTAGTTGGCCAAGCCTACTTGTGTGTAAGTTAACTTACAACTCATCACAGAAGGAATTATTCACCTGACAAAGGAAAACCTTTTATTTATTCCCTACATGGCCAAGTGTTCTCCTTTGTCTTTTTACTCTCACACACACACACACACACACACACTAACACACACTCTCTCTCTCTCTCTCTATCTATCGCTCTCTCTGTGCTGACAGTAAGAGAAAGTGACCTTAGTGGAACTCAGATTTCACCTCCTCAGTGTTTTGGATCTGCTCGAGACAGACGCAGAACCGCAGTACCCAGAGGTCACTCACAAGGTTAAATACTCGGTCATGAAATGCATCTGATACCCGTTGCCAACAATCACTAAATACTTGCATAAATTGCTTCATGGATACCTGCATAAATATCTGCAGGCTGTGTTATTTTGCCAAGCGTATTATTGCTGCCTTAGATTTAGCTGAAATCCAAAATACAGCCTGAAGCAACTAATAAAAGAGAGATGGAAAACTGGATGTCAGCGAGTCTGTGCACATGGGGCTTCAAGATACCAGAAAAGTAAAGTCATTGCACGAACAGGAAATGGCTAGTGGTCGCTTGATGAGAGACAGGATGTGTCCCATTCAGAGAAACAGACGGAAGGAAAGGGCATGTATGTGTCGTGTATATATTAACGTGCTAGATCTCGCCTGCAACGCCCAGGGAAGGGTAGACCTTCACAATGCACACATTCCACATTGTTGTTCAGTTTAAATGTGAGTGTGTTTGAAAACGTCACTCGTACGATAAGTTTCCGTCACATGTAAAAACTTCACGTATTGACTTAGTTTAGATCATGATGACACATGATCGTGCGGATAACCACAAGCTCTAAGTTAAGCATGAATTGTTCCCCTTCAGTGGCTCCAGTCATATCTATATTTGTGTTTAGTTGCATCATCAGTGTCTGCACTCTGAGGACTCCTTGTTCCTGTTTGAACGGAGAGTACAAAACTTTAGAGAGGAAACGTTATGTGGGAAGACTTTTCAGCCACAGAAATGCTCTGAAATTATGAATGGCAGTCACCCAAAGTGCGCTCATGAATATATGTTCAAACTGTATTGAGATGTCTTCCTTTGAAGATTTTTCTCTTTTTATGAGTAAAAAAAAAAAGGGTTAAACCAGGGTTTATGTTATGTTAAAGGACTTCCTTCAATTCTGCATGACTTTAGTAGACTTTTTTTTGACACTACTGAAGAATCAGAACCTGAATTTTGGTCACATTTCTTGAAAACCTTTAGTTGAGTGACGTTAGCATCCCTCAGAAAGTGCATGCTTTTGAATCATTCGCTGCACATTCTTTAGCTGCATTATTGTACACAGAGCAATGCAGGAGCAGCTTTGTGACAGGCTATAAACTTCTGCACAAACTGAGTGGCCTCTCGTATTAGCTCAGCTTGTTTTTGGGATTCATTCTGTTTTTTGTAAACCACGTTTTATGAGCCAATTTATCCGTGAAGTTCTCCTTCTCTCCAAAACAAACTGACCTGCTTATTAAACCAGGTAACCAAGATTTCACAAGTTGGGTTTTTTTACAACCCAAGACATCCAATTCTAATTTCCAACCACCATTTTTGATTAATTCTCTAATTATAAATCATGATGATTGGACCGTAGTTTGTTTGAGATGCCAAGTAGTGTTTTCACTGTCACACAGAACTCCTGAAAAACTCAAGTTGAGATGCATGTTTGAACACAGTCTATGTTTACAGTCTATGGTGTGAATGCAAAAAAGGTGACTTTTTCACTCAAACTTTATCCAGAGTTTCTCCTGCCGGCCTCCTGGTATTTTTGAAGAAAGTCAGATTGAGTTGACGTGAGAACTCAGCAGGATATTATCAGGAGAACTCACCTCAAGCGAGTGGGAGGGGGTGGTGACGTTAATTCCTTGCGATCGGTGCACGACCATAGACTGCCTGCATGTAACCGCTACGATCTCTGCACAAAATTAAACTGCTGCATATTGACTGTTCTCCTGTATGTTCTTCTCCACTCTTTTGTTGATATTGTGAATCTGTTGAACTACACATAGCATTGATATGAAGGCAAATATTTTGATAATGGGATTGTATAGTGGACTCCGTTGCTTCGTCCGCTACTTCCATTGTTTATTGCTCTCTCCAACCTCTCCCGTCCAACATGGATAGTCTCCTGCTGTAAGGTGCATGTGTGAACAACCGGATCAGGAGGATTTTAGGGGCAGTCCTCCTGAAATTCTAATTTTCACGAGTGCCTATGTGAAAACAGCTATAGTAACCCACTGATGATCTTTGCACACATTACAGGTAAAACATAAGACTCATTTAGGCTGACACAAGAATTTAGTGATGCCCAGAACTGAAAAAAAGATCCAAATGCCAAACACCAAATTTTGATATTTGGATACAGCGTCTGTATTTTTTTTTTACCCGAAATTCTTCCTCTTAAAATGGAAGAATCATAAACTCACACAGACAGCTAAATGGCAGCTGTGCTTAAAGGAAACTTATAGCGCCAATAGTTTTTTTTTTTTTTTTTTTTTTTTAAATGTGGAACTATTTGAACAAATGAAAGCTTTCAAAGACTTTAAATTTGCATTCAAGCAAGCTTTTTTCTAAATAACTAAAGATTCAGTGCTGCAGACAGATTTTAGTTCAAACTAAAATCGTTCAGACACCTGTTGAGCTTCAGTATCCAGCTTTGTTCAGGAGCACCTTAGTCCCAGTGAAATGTAATGTCTAAGTGAAGTTGTGTGTGAGTCACTGAAGGAGGCGGCAGAGAGGATCAAGGTGCTGGTGTTTAAAGACATTACATAACAAGCTAATCTGATTTCAGGCCTCTCTGTGGCTCAGACTCTTCATCTGTTGCCGCGCTCTTGGGTCTGTGGGTGTGGTGCGTGTGCGTGTGCGTGTGCGTGTGCGTGTGCGTGTGCGTGTGCGTGTGTGTGTGTGTGTGTTTTCTCCCTAGAGCAGGCAACAAAACACACAGACTGGTAAATACAGTTTTATTGAGGGAATAATGATATAAACCTCAGGTTAAAGCTGATTAATCAGGGTTGAAACACACAGTGTTATGCAGGGAACTCCACCTCTGCTGTATCTGGCCCTTCCTCTACTCTGCCTGTGGCTGAACTGAACCATGGCTGCTTTTGTGTTAGCAAGGTTAATGTAACAAATCACAGCTGAGTGACTGCTCAGTCCTGAGCCCACGGTTATTAGCTTCAATTCACTTATATAACTGCACCGCTCTCTGTCACTCTCACTGTCTGAAAGAGAAAAACCCAGCATGGAAGAGCTGATTCAAAAAAAGTCCCAGACAGCTAAAATAACTTGCTCCATTGTGCAAAAAAAACATGCGCCATAATGAAAAATAAAGCCAGTGCATAATGATCATCAGCTGGCTCACATAACACGCTCCTTTTATTTCTCTCTAGGTAAGCCTCGGAGTGTGGGCGGTTCTGAGCGTGTGCAGCTCTCTGGGGTGTTCAACGTGCGGAAAGGGAAGCTGGCGCTGCCGGTGAACCGGTGGTCGAAGCGTCAGGTCACTCTGAGTGGAACCTGCCTCATTGTCTCATCGGTGAACACGCCCACACCGGCAAGATGCACATCCTCCCTCTCATCGAGGAAAGGTATTCCCGGCTTAGTATTCCTCCTCATGGTTTCCACTTTTGGTGCAAAACCATTTCTGATTTGAAGTGAAGTTCACGGCTTCTTTAAGCCTCCTTTGCAATCCCACAATATTGGTTATATTGTGAACACTCAGCATAAATCGAGCAATCCTGGAATTTCACCCATGCGCCTACCTTTAAAAAAAATACATGCTTTATGACACACTCAAAGGTTACAGGTGACGGATGACATCTTTTTGAAGCCTTAGCCAATGAGTAGGCCTGATATATTTTAAGACTAAAGATTTCTTTGGTGCAGGTGGAGGAAGTAAAGAGACACAGCCACTGTCTGGCTCTCAGCTCGGCTGGTCCTCAGAGTTCAGACCACTACATCAGCTACGACTCGTACACAGAGCACCTGCGCTGGCACCGGACCGCCTCAAAGGTATTTAAAGGTTCTATGTGTGTCCACATTAACTCTCTTTGCTTCTCCAACTACTACTTTAACACATCTTTACTGCCTTTTTGACTG